CCCTTCCCCCACACACTTTCCCTGTCTCATCCTCTTTGTCCTTGTCTCTCTGTGTCTCTCCCTCACACACACTCTGTCTGTCTGTCTCTCTTTCTCTCTCTGTCACACACACACACACACACACACACACAGAGTCTGTCTCTCTGTCCCTGTCTGTCTCTCTCTCCCTCACACCCCCACCCCCAGCTTGAAAGGACACTTGGAAGCAGAGGTTTCAAAGAGACGGAAGGTCAGCTGAGCAGTACTTGCTCACCGCTCCCTGCCTGTCCTCTGGGCTCCTAACCGAGGTCTCAGCATCTTGACGCTGAAGGAGGTGACGGCCTGGAACTTCTGCGGCTTCTTAGGCTGCAGACGTTGGTGCTGAGGCCTCCTGAGCAGCCAGCACGGGCAGAATGGACATTCTGGAGCAAAGAGAGTACAGACCCTGTGTGCGGCTGCCCCTGAGGAACACGCCGACTCCTGAGCTCTAGGGACGTCGTGAGAGGACAAGAGAGTAAGCTGGAAGCATTTTCCGGCACGTTAATCAGAAATGGAGGCGCTTTCAGGATGCTAGAGAGGAAAAGTTGGCGTTCAGGGCCATCAAGTTGGTGGGGCGCTTTTACACCCCTCCAGGATGCTGACGGGGCCGGAGATGACTGTGCGTCCGGAGCTCATGAGCCAGGGACAGAGCAGCTCTTACGTCGGAAACACAGCTCCGCCTCGGACTGCCTGAGGACATGGGGTCCGCTGGAGGAAGGCTGTGACCCAGGCCGCGTCTCTGTTTATACACAACGCCTGGCGTTTAGAATAATGAAGCATACCAGGTTCCAGCATGGAATTATTCAGGCCCAGAAAACGTGGTTGAATAGAAACTGATCTACAGGGTGACTGTGATGCGGGACTTCCTGAAAATGAATAAAAGCTGTGGTGACCCAGTACCTGGGGCTTTGCACTGGAAACCCACAGGAATCACCCCGAGAGATTCACACCCGCCCGCGGCTCCGCGAGATGAAGGTGGGCAAGTTACAGATCCAGAAACCCGCTGGAGGGCCAGCCATGATCAATCCTGATGCCAGGGCAGTGGCTTAGACTTTTCAAAGAAAACGGATGAAAGAGACTTTCACCAGAGAACGTAAATCTTAAAGAAGGACCCAAGCAGAAGTCTCGAACGGAAACAACTAAATTGCTGCTAGATGGCTCAGTACACAATTAGAGCAGAAGGAAGGGTCAGTGTGCTGGGAGAATGGCATCAGGCACCACCTTCCCCGAAACAGGAAGACACGGTGCGCAGGGGTGTAATCGGTGGAAGGAGCTGCATCGCCAGCAAGACGCACGGTCAAGCCCAGCAGCTGCTCTGCCGGAGGAGGATGGACAGTCCTCCTGGGGCACGTCCTGCCCCTGAAAAGCCTTGGGAGGGCCAGCAGTGGGTTGGTTCTCCAGGGCAGAGCGTAGCAACAACAGGCGATGAATAGGAGAGTGGAAGTGGGCAGAGGCAGTCTTTGAAAACATGATGATTGAGAATTCTTCCAAATTGCCCAAATGTTTCAAATCACAAAGAAAACTCTGATAAATAGGATAAATTTGAGGAAAACCACTCTTAGTCACATCGTAACAAGAATCTGAAAATCAGCGACAAGGAGACTATTTTAAAAGCCTGTGAGAATCAGAGAAGAGCCTCGTTTTTAAAGCCGGGGTGAGATGCACACTTGACTTGGTAAACAGTGGAAACGAGAAGATAATTGACATTGTTAAAGAAAGTAACACCAGTGGAGGTCTGCATCCAGTGAAAGCGTTCTTCAGAAATAAGGGTGAAATGAAAATGTTTTCAGAGAAGCAGAGATGGAGAGAAATTGACATGAACAGAATCCACTGAAGTGGAAAAGTCCTGGCAGGTAGAAAGTGGGTGAAACGGCCGTTCAGCTAAGAGGCATCCAGTCCCCACCATGTGTGTGCCGAGGAACAGCCTACGGACCGCCCGGCCAAAGCTGACCTTCCTGAAGGCGGTTGGTGCCTGTGTGATCGTAGCTAGGGATTAACACACTCTCTAGTAACTGCTAAACTAGACAAAACTGTAAGGGCTTCAGCAGTTCCGACGTTGTTTCTCGAGGAAGGCGACCCGGGGAAGGGCATCAAGCTGTGCCCCTCAGGCGGCCTGAGCGTGTACCTTGGAGACGTGAATGAGTCGGCTGGTGGACGGTGACGATTCCCACGTGGTGGTGATGCATTTCCTGCGCCAGGTGTGTGTAGACACTGTGTGTGTTTGCAGAAGACAACTTGGAACTAAATTTAAAAAGAGACAGTAATTATTGTAGCCCCCCACTAGAATGAACTCGATGACCTGATGCATAAGGACACCGAGAATGTGCAGAGCCTCGCGGAGGCAGGGAAGGGGCGGCCTGTGTGATGGATGTGCCTTTACCGGACAGGCTGGACATGGAGAACCTGCAGAGGCTCGCCGAGGGAGGGAAGGGCGGCCTGTGTGATGGATGTGCCTTTACCAGACGGACCTGCAGCTTTAGTTCCCAGGAAGCTGACGCTCCCGCAGGCCTGGGGTGGGGTGGTGGTGCCTGAGAGTGCAGGGGGTGAGCCCAGCGGCTGCTTGTGAGGCGTCGGCTTCTCTCAGACAGTGGCTTTAATGGACCCGAGCACGTTAGAGACGGTGGGGATGGTTCAGGACAGGACAAGGGTCACGTGTTCGGAGAGTCGCTGTGAGAGAGCTCAGCTTGATTGTACTGATGACAGTGACAGCGACAGCAGGTGAGTGCTGCCTTTTCACAGCCCTCTGTGCCAGCCCACTCTCTGCTGGGCAGCTCAGCTGTGAGCATGTGTCTGCAACCACACCCACATTGCTGTTGGGCACAGACCCGGGACTCCTGTCTGGGAGTACGAAGGATCCAGGGTGGTGAAACCTTTTAAAGAGGCCTGGAGAGTTTCCACTGCCAGGTATCAGAACAGAGAATGGAGCTGCAGGTCAGTAGCCATGTGCCAGTGCTGGTGGTGGACGTGCAGGCCAGCTAGAGGGGACAGAGCCACAGTACACACGTGGCCACCTGAGAGTGTCGGGATGCTGCAGGCGTGACTTTTCTTCCCAGTGATGTTGCCGGCTTGCCCCACATCCGTGCCCACCGGAAATGTGGGTTTGTTTGTGGACACTGCTCACAGCAGAGCTGCCAAGGAGAGAGTGGACTGGCACAGGGAGCTCGCCACAGGCCATAGGGAGCCCCCCTGGGTTTCCGAGGCAGGGGGCTGTGTGTGTGGACTGTCCACTCTCCTTCACAGTGGCCACTGGACTCCAGCCCCAGGGGTCACAGCAGTGCCACACGGTGACAGCCCAGGGCCCAGCACTGGCAGCAGATGGCGAATCCTTTGTGGGGAATCTGGGAGGGTTAACCTGGGCTCATTAACCCGGGCTCATGGTGAGTCCTGTGTGTACCAGGCCTGCTCCATGTTCAGCTCTCCTTACACTGAGCACTCGTGAACACACCGCCACCCCTTCCTTCTCAGGCCCTGGTGGGTCCCAGCCACCAAGCGTCAGGCTAGTTCTGGAATGTGTAGTTGGCACAGCTGGGGATCCTGCTACAACGGGCGCCTGGAGGACAGTGACAGCCGAAGTCCAGCCTCTAGGGCCCTGGCGGGCCTCACACTGCTGACAAGGAGAGAAGGCCGGGCCTGTTTGCCCTACTGGAGTTTTCCTCAGGCGGGTGGGCTGGGAGATTTCACGGAGCACATCTCTTTGGTGGTTCAAACCCACCAGCTGCGGTAAAGAGAAAGATGGGCAGTTTGCGCCTGTGTGAGCCTGTCTCTGAAAACCCGCTGGAGGGTCTGCTGTGCATCAGTTTGAACCCTGCAGTGGGTTTTGAGTGAATACAATTGGATGTGTGCATTGAACTCCAGCCACAGCAGAGCCCCCTGTGCAGTAAAGGGGCCGAGCCGTAGCCTCCTGTCTCCCCCAGCGCCACGGTACTGGACATCGTGCAGGTTGGAGGTCTGTGTTGTCCCTGGGTCACGGGTTCAGGTCTGTTGGTGCCGTTTCTTCTGTGGCTCGTCCACACTCCCTCGCTTGGCCATTCCCACATGGCTTCCCACATTCCCCGAATGCAGCTGTAACTGTAACACCAGCCCACGACCCATGGCCCAGGTCCTGTCCAGCTCCAAGTGACTGGCGCCATAGCCTGTAGGGCAGAACTGCCTGAGGGCTCTGACAGTTGTGACTTCATGGAAGCAGACCATCTGCTGGGGAGTGGCTAGTGGGCCTGAACCACTGAACTTTCCCTTAGCCTCCTATTGCTTAATCCACTGTGCCACTGGGGCTCCAGTGTGGTGTAAACGTAGCTGTCCGTGCACTAAGACCATGTGCATGAGACTCAGAGGTCTGTGGGACATTTTCAGTAGAGGAGTTCGACCCACGCCCGTGGCCTGGTCCTAGCTGTGGACCCCACGTGGGAGGAGGCAGTGCCCTGGGCACTCCTTTTATGGTGGTGAAATCACGTGCATGGTGAGCGTAACCAGAGTCACTGAATGACGCATGCACAAATGGTGGGATCAACAAGCTTTTTATTGTCTGCATTTTTTACTGTAATAAACATGAAATAAAGTAAATAGTAGAGCAGCATGTGCCCCCCCCCCCCCAGCTCCACTGGCCCTGTGCAGAGGTTTAAGGAGAGATGTGAGGTGGCTCTGCCGGCAAAGCTGGGATACTGCTCTATCTGCCAGCCACCCTGCGCCTCCAGTGCCGGCTCATGTGGAGGGAGCCCCCGCTGAGGGCTGAGGTCACCGCTGCCACAGGCTCCCTCCCAGGACCAGCTCCCTGCCTTCCCCATGTCTCCTGGACCGTGTGTTTCTGCCCTCAGTGTCAGGGACCAGCGCCTTGACCATGGAGGGAGGAAAAATCCACCTTTGTCAGCGGGTGGCTGGAGACACCTCCACAATCAGGCTTCACTGTTAGATACCTGGGCGCTGTGAGCAGCTGGGCGCTGTGAGCACCTGGGCACTGCTGGGCACCTAGGTGCTGTGGACACCCGGAGGGCAGCAGGCCTCTGATCCTGCCTTCGTTCTGAAGCCTCTTTTTGTGGGGTGAGTGTGGAGCCAGGGTAGGAGCTGTCAGTCTCTTGGCCTCCCTGCTGAGAACCCACATTTAACCTACTTCCCTAGAGCTGGCTTGTCCCTGTGGTAACCCTCCCCCACTTCCGGGACCCCCATACCGTGCACAGACTGTGTTCCGGGCCCAGGCTGGACCCCCACACTTCCTGCCAGATCCATCCCTGTCCTGGAGGCTTTGCCCTTCCTGCCCCCGGGGGGGGGGACCCCATACAGGCTGATGACCAAAGAACCTGGGCCCAGGGGCACTTAGTCCCAGTGTGGGCTTTGGCCTCGCCACCTAGTGTCCTGACTCTTAGTGATGCTGTGTGACACTGACCTGTCATACTCTGCTGCTGCCCACTCCATGTCCTTGGCAGCCCACAGCTCCGGGCGTGGGTGACACCATTTCAAGATGGGGAGTGTGGAGCCCCCAGTCAGATGTTTTCTGGGACTCGCCAAGAGGCTCCTGGTTGCTGGGCACCCTGTGGGGCCGTGTGTCCTGTGTGCGTGGTTCTAGGGACGCCACTCTGTGTGTCGCCATCTGTCCGGCTCCAGGTTCAGCTGGCATGGGGGCCCCATAGTGCGCCCTGCAGCCAGGCCTGAGGTGGCCAGGGAGGGGCATGCGCAGGGGCAGAGGCCAATGCCCTGCCTGTCCCCTCCATGTGCAGGGTGGACTAGGAGCACAGCAGGCTGGACTGGTGAGCGATTGTGACCTTGATGTGTCTCCCTGCGTCTGACGGGTGTGTGCCAAGCCCTGTGTCCAGCCGAGTGAGGAGGACCTCGCCCCTAGCACGGGAGATGCCAGTGCTAATGACCACTTCTGGTCAGCAGAGTCCCCGGGCGCCGTTTTCTGAGCTGGCCGATGACGAGAAGATCTTCAATGGCGGGGACGGCCTGTGGCAGAGCCAGGGACAGGAGCAGGAGCAGGCACTGCTCTCAGAGCTCACGGAGGACGACCTGGAGGCCATCCGCCTGCGGGAGGAGGCCATCCTGAAGATCGAGGTGAGAGCGCTGTGCACGTGGGGGTGTGCACCTCTGTGGGCTTGTGAGCGTGCAGCGTCTGCACGTGTGTGTGTCTGCAGGCACATTTGGGTTCACGCACAGGGACCTGGGGCTGTCACAGTTAGTGCCTGCAGGCCTGCGGGCAGCCGTTCACCTGTGACCCTCACCCTGGAGCCCAGCTTGCTGAGGTTGTGGGGAGACTCTGGATTCGAGCCTGCCAGCTGGTGGTCGTGATAAGGGAACCCCGCTCTCATACTGAGGGTCAGTCATGCTGGGGGCTGCTCTTCCATGTTCTAGCCATTGTCTTGAACTGAAACAGGAAAACGAACCAAGGAAGCCCCCTGCATTGCAGCCCTTCCTGCTGAGGGTAGAAATGGGGACACTTGCAGGGGAAATGGTGGCTGTTACTGCGAGCCCTGCCCACCCACCAGGCAGTGTACAGCTGTGACCTCGGGTCCCTGCAGGGCCAGCAGTTACTGGGCAGCTCCTGTGTGGCTGCTGTGAGGAGGGGCTGCAGGAAACGGCCCTCAGGGCGCTTTCACACCTCAGAGGCTGCAAACTGTGTCAAGGTAGAAAGGAACAGGCTCCTTATCACCACCCCCTCAGCCCCTCTCACTTCGCCCCCTCTCCCCTCATCCCTGGGGGCTTTTGAATTTGCATGATTTTACGTATTCACTGTTCTGGGTAGACACCCCCATACACATTGCGGATGGGAGGACGGGGAACAGGCACCCAGAGGGAATGGAGGGCTGGCATTCCAAGTGTCGAGTGGTTGGGGCTGCCCTGGAGTCTGCCCTGAGTGTTGGGGCTTCAGGAGTGTCCAGGGGTCACAGAGCTGTTGAGGCAGTGCTGGCCTGCAGCCCCGTCTGACAGGAGAACCCTGGGCTCTTCCCTGTCCACGTGACGCTGTCAGGAGGGTGAGTGTTAGGTGTCTTTCAATGGCAGTGTGCTTAGGGGAGTGAATGGGGGAGCAGACAGGAAGGGGGGGAGCAGATTGATGGGGCTGCTTGGGGTGACCGTCTGGGCATCCAGTTAGGCTGGGTGCCAGCTGCTGTCCCTCCTGTCGCTAGTCCTGCAATTGAGACACAGAGCTGCTCCTGTCCCCAGGGCTGTCTGCTGCCCCCTGACTGTCAGTCCACCCAGGCCCCTTAGGGCACTGGGGCCACTGCTGTAGCTCTGCTGGACCAGGGGGGCAGGCGGTGGCCAGGCCGTGCAGGTCCCGGTCCTCCAGGGTCTGACCAGAGGAGGAGCCCAGGGCTCTCCTGTGCACCTCCCCTGTCCCTCTGGCCTGATACTGGGAAGGTCCTCCTGACACCCTGGGCCATCCCCTCCTGTCTCTGTGCTGCGCTGAGTCCTGGTCTGGGATCAGCACTGCCTTGTCTAGTGGAGGTCAGAAATGGAGGTACCTGAAATAATGGGGGGCGCTGTGTGACCCTCCGTAGCTACAATGTGCCTGGAGGGTTCTGCAGGCTGCAGACGGCCTGATGGCAGAGGATGGCTGGGCCCGGGTCAGGACAGTGGAGAAGCAGCTGGACAGAGAGTTGACTGGGGCACACCTGAATGGGGAAATGACAGCTGGGTATGAGGGCACAGCCGGACTGTAGGGTGATACCTGGATGAGGGAATGACCTCTGCACATAGGAGGGACACCTGGATGTAGGGGGATAATTTGGATATGAGGGTACACCTGGCCGTGGGACCCCACTCGGACGGCACAGTGACACCTGGTCGTGGAGTATACCTGGCCGGAGCAGGATCTATGAAATGCTGCACAAGTCCCCGACGCCCCAGAGGTGGGGCAGCTTTGGTGACTGGCTCCAGGGCAGGGAACCCCTCTCCTGTGGAGGTTCCTGGGGCCTGACCAGGTGACTGCCCCCCTGTGCCTGTAAAGTGGACTCTGCCAAACCTGTTCCTTAGTCTTTGAACAGGTTACTCGGCTGAAGGTGAGGGTGCTCTCCAGAGTGTATGCTACATTCTCACCTGTGACCTGGACACAGCGTCCCTCACTGCCTGGTTCTCACCTGTGACGTCCCTCACTTCCATGTTCTCACCCATGAGATGGATATGGGCATCTCTCCGTGCCCAGCTCCCCATTCAGACAAGTCTTCTAACCCTGCAGCCCGGTCTTGGAGTTAATGTTTTCAGTGCAGGCCCAGTGTGGCCCCCAGCTGTGAAGTGAGTGGCCTGACTGAAGGGAGGTGCTCATAGCCTCCATGCTGCCCTCCAGAAGGGGTGCACGCCCTACTTCTGTGGCCTCCTTTCTGATCTGGCTGCAGGCTGTAATGGGTCAGGATGCCTGTTGGGTCCATGTAGCGTTCCAGAGTAAACACCCTCTTTTCTGTCCCTTGGCTGCTTGGCCTCCAGCTGACTTTTCAAGCCCCTGTCCCACCCTCTGTGGGGTCTTCCTCTCCAGGCCCCGTCCCACCCTCTGGGGGTCTTCCTCCCCAGGGCCCTTCACCATCGATAGCCTCCCTTACGCCTGTCTGCCCAGGGCCCACACATTTTGCTTGGTCTGATCCCTCCGTCCTATCTACCTCTTGGGGGCGTGACCCAGATGCCTGCTTGTTTAGGGTTTGTGTACCCACCTGACCAGGAGCCCTGGGAAATGGCCCCTATGTGTCCTGGTCTTCGTCTCATACCCAAACTTCTGGGGGCACTTGGCCAGCTTTTTTTGCCAAAGGAACTAGAGGTGAATGGACATGTGGACGTGGTTTCAACACTGAGATGACACTTGCATTGGGGTGAAGAGGTTCATTACTTGTGTCTGCACCTCCTCAGAGATCCCCCCAGCGGCTTTGAGGGTGAGGCCCTGTTTATGGCCATCTCATGGACCCCAGAGAGCTGCTGAGGGTCAGCTGTGTGGGCATATTCTCACAGCGTCCCCCCATAACCCCCAAAAGTTGACCTCCCAGTCCTGAGCCCCTAGGGGGTAGCACACGTGGGCCCTGGTTCCATCACATTTAAGGTGGACTCCAGAGTGGGCAGACCCTGCCCAGCCCCCAGCCTGTGTTCTGAACTGAGCCTGGCTGCCTGGCTCCAGGATAGTGGGCTAGCTGTGGGGTACCTGCGGATAGCCTGTTTGCAGGTAATGAGATGAGTCCCCAGAGTCATCCCACAGGCCTGCAGCCGGCCCCACTGGGCAGCACAGGCTCCATCACCCTCTGGAGATGATGGAAGTAAAGGTCTGTGGCGTGGACCGCCATCCCATTGCGTGCACCAGCTGTCACAGACCCTCAGATGGGGCCGAGCCGAGTGAGGGGCTGCCCCAGCCCTGCCATGGAGTCTACACTGCTCCCTCCTGACCGGACCTACCTGCCAGGGCCCTGGGCCGTTTGTCACCTAACCCAGGTGGAGTGCTGAAGCACTCCAGTTGCTCTGTTGCCATAGCTACCTGGCAGGAGAGGGAGGGGTGCTGAGACCACCAGAGAGGGCTCCAAGGGGCCTCCTCCCCACCCACCCCC